TTCTGGGGTCAAGATTCGGTTGCAACCCTGGAAATGGGTGGTGTCCCTTGTGTGAACCACCCAAATGTACATAAACATATGTGGCATGGCAGGATCAAAGCTAGAATCGGAATCTTAGAGCCTTTAACTGGGAGACAATGGAAGTCAGACAAGCACATGGCATGTGTCTCCCAAAATGGGTGGTTCTTTTGTTGTGAACCTTTTCGGGTGGTTTCCCTTTACAACCGCCAAAAGGGTAACGTCAAAAAAGACAACCCCACATGGGTCTGACGAAATGAACAAGGGTCCTAAAAAAGCATGAAGCAGGCTTTAGGGCTGACTACATATGAAGCAGAGTCTGACATGTAGCTTGCCATACGGGGTTACCGGGTTGGGCCGGGGTCTGTTCAAAACCAACCTGAAAGCTGCAAAAAACAGGTCTGGGATGGTATCTGGGCATCCGATCGGGTGGACCGTTTCAGCCTCCATCTCCTTTTCGCCAGGTGATGAAGTATGGGGACGATGATCAGTGGACCGCCGGGGGCCTCGAATCAGGGGCTCGAGTCCTTTCTTGAATCGATAATCGGACAGGGCCCCTCTTCACATGATGGCTTCGGTAATCCTTTGGGTTGCCTTTTGCCCTCCAAAAAGAGTTACCCTCAGAAGACACGCCCATGTGGTCTCGGCAAGATTCTGAAACGTTCAGTCGCTCTGTGCTGGGTCTTTGGGCATCCCTTTTTTGGCCCTCCTTCTCCCTGGTCCAGAATGACCTCCTCGAGATGGTAGCCAGGTGCATGGTATCTGGAGCCACGCTTAAAGAAAGGAGCGGATAAGGATTCTCCAAGGCACCCTAAGGCTCCATGCGTCAAGGGAAACCGACAACCCTAAAGAATCCCAAAACCTAAACCAGAATGACAGGGCTTGCATCCAACCCCTTCACCTGTCTTATGCTCTGTCCTTAGCATCAAACGTCTCGTGTGTTGATGTGTCAACCACCACCTAATCCCCCCCCGCTGTCTGTCCTCTCGGAAGAGAAAGCGCCCCCTCCAGGTTGCCACAGAGATGATGCGGGCCCGATCCACCACGATGCGCTTCACCATCTCTGACTTGGAGGACGGCATGTCGAGCTACTGGTTTGACCAGTCGATTTACCAGCGGAACCCGTCGATGCGACTAGGTTGGGCAAAAAGACTGATGAGTTCCGCTGGCTTAGACTGGTTTTGATGCCAGGGGAACCCGTCGATTTGACCAGAAGGACACCCTTATACGGCGGCAGCGACAGCGCAACACAAAGCCCCCCCCCAAAAAATAAAGCCGAGGGACACCAACGGGATTCTCAAACGGTTTATCCCATGAAGGAGCCGATCGATTGTGTGCCTGCGTTGTTCGAATAGTTCCCGAGTGTGGTGCACACGGAATAGGAAAGCCATCCAAGCTGCTTCTCACAACAAGTTTTCCAGCGACCTGGGAGATTGCCCTTTTCTGGGAAGCGCCCATGTCCGTACGGCCCACACGCTCGGGCTGTCCCTTGAAGAGTACCCTAGTGGATGGTTGGTCCATACTTTTCCAGCGGCTTTTCCACGAAGCCAGCAAGAACCCCACCCCACCCTTCCCATTTTACGAAAGTTGAACCCTTCCGGATTGCCAACGTGTTGAACTTTTAGGCCCCTTCACACGTGGATGCTCCCTCAAGACTTGACTAGCGAAGAGATGGTCTATGTGTTGTCTTACCCTCGCTTTTGGAAGCAAGCCCTGGTTCCCTCGTTTCTTTTTTTTGTGAGTCTGGCGCCATGGCGGTTTCCGGATCCAAGATCCAGGAGAACACGGCATACCAACTGCGGCTCCGCGCGCAAATGCCCATCGAGCCCCTCAGGCTGGGACCCGTTGGTATGTCGGGACAGGTCTCTGGTGTTGACCAATATGGGTCCACTTTTGGTCGTTTACATTTACACCGGAAGGAGACATTTGTCCTTTGACTTCGCTTAAGGGGCATTGAATGTGAACCACCGATCTTTTGGTGTTTCCGTAAGCCGATGTTGAAGCGTTTGACCAACGTGGCTCATCTCTCTTGCAAATTGACAAAAGCTTCCAACAGACCAGCACAAAGCTGCGCTTCCACCTTATGGGGAGGCGTCTTGGACCTGAGGCAAATTGCCGCGCCTAGACTGATGCGACCAAGACCCATTTGACAATCTGGATTGGATTCCTGTGGTTTGCCTCAGGCATCTACCCGTAGCTCGGTTCTTCCGATCTCATCTCTGCCCTTCTCAAGACACTGGGGGAGGGGGGGGGCGTGTTTGGGAAAAAATACCGTACTAGCTCTACCCGCATGATATTGAAGAAGACCCAATTGTAGAATACTAAGTTTCGAAAACCATACCCCATGCAAAGCAGCTCTAACTCTGGTGTGGGAAGGGAACACTGCCGGGGGCCCAATTGACTGACCGGGGTTTAATGAGTTTCCCTGCTCCAAATTTCAGGGCACCCATGTTTTCTGCAAAGACAAATGGGACAGCCCAAGTTTTCCTATCTCGCCCAACTCTTTTTGGTTTCTGTTGTTTTGATGTGTTTTTTTGTTTTCCCCCGAAGAGAATCTATCACTGGACAGATTTCCGCATCTTTTCCAGGGGACTTCTCGGCAAATGGCCTGGCCGTGGCCGGAAATGCAAATCTCTCGCCGTCCCCGCCACAGCTTCAAGTTTGCGGAGTTCGCGGAGCCGGAGCCGGAGGCGCAGGCGGAGGCCCGGTGCCGGTACCCGAAAAGATGACACCCAAAAACGGCACAAACATTTAGCCCCCATGGAGAAAACGGCTGCGCCTAGGGCCCAGATTACAAGACTGTTGCGCCTGCGATATTTGGTTTGATTTGGTTTTGAAGTAGCCCACAATAAGCCAATATGAGGGGCTCAATGGGACTTCGGGATTCCTGGCAGTTTCTCCGATGATCTGCGCCATGCGATGTTTGGACCCCCTCAAGAAAACCACGTGGTTTTACTTGCTATTTTCCTCTGAGCCAACCGCAAGGGGGGTCCGCCACCAGCACCGCAGATTCTGATGTGGGGATTTGTCGTTGGCTTGGGCGGAGGTTGGGGTTGGAGTGTTCCTGGAGTTGTTGTTTCTAGGTACATGGGTGTTTTTTGATATTTTTCCTTAAACGGGTACCTTCTCAGGTTGGTCAGCGGGGAAGTTCAAGAAGGCTTGAGTCGCCATTTCGGGGGAGGTCTCATCTGCAACGCCCACATCATTGGTTTTCCCTTGGCTTGAAACCGAGGAACCCATGGGCTTCGATTATCAGCTGGGAAAAACCGTACAGAACCCTGGGAACTGAGGTCGAATCTGGCTGCTGAAAGACTACTCCTTAATCCTTGCTTTGGGCCATGACAAGATTTGGTCGCCTTTATTCCCTTTTGAAATCTACCCATCAAAAAGCAGCTGCCAGGTTAGTTTTTCGCGCAGGAATCTACAGGTTTCGCTCCGTGGGCCCTTGCGCAGGTGGTAGAGCTGGACTAGGCTGGGGCAGTCCCGAATGGGAGTGCGCCAAAAGGGGAGGGGTTTTGGCATGTTTTCAGGTTTTTACGGAATCGAGTCTTCACATCAGATCTTATCAGATCAATTCCCACGGGTCCATTCGGAATTGAAGAGTGTCCAATGGTTTCCTTTGACACTTTGATTCCCTTTGGCTGTGTCGAAAAGTCCCTCTCGGTTGGTTTTCTGCTGGGTTTTTTGCTTCCCTTCAAACGCCATCTAAAAGGGGCCCTAGTTTTTGGAGCCCGATGTGTTGTGGTGAAGACAACACCGTGCCCCAAAACTCGGCATCCTGAACTCCGGTGAAGGACACCGCAAGAATCAACCTGAGCTCATTGGCCTACAGGTGGGACGTCTTCATTTCAGCTAATTATGTGAAACCTTGACTTCTCAGGGAATGCGGGAATGAACCGAGGGATTCCCTTACCACCAGTTGGATGGTTTATAGAGGTCTCTCATTCCCTGCCCATGGCACCAGGTTGATTGAAGCCGAATTACAATCATGGACCTATGCAATGGACGTATTCTTTGTCCATCCAGAAGTCTGGAAGGTGTCTGTCGAGCATTCCAGCGGGGCAAGCAGCATCTCCCCAAAGCTCAGGGACCTTTGTCGGTGGGACGCCACCTTAGAATGACACGCTGGTAGCCACGGTCACCTTTTCAACGGATCCAGGCAAGCCGCTTTGGCAAATACAATTGGATAGCATGAGTGAAATTTCAGGAAAGGATCATGGGAGCAAACGACAGTGCTAATTGTAGTCTATTGGTTCAGGGATCCCACAAAAACCAGGGCACAACAAATTTGCCTATTGCCCCCTTTGGGGATCACAATTATATGGTTTGTGCGTGTCATGAAGGCAGTGTTATAATCACGAGGGTTGGAAACCACCCCCAAGCCGTTCCAGGATGGTACGAATCTTGTGGGGCATTTCAGCTGCTCCGGGTATAAGCCATTTTTGAACGGTAGCCAGGTTGGTAAGGGCTTGTATGCTTGTTGGTTTTTGAGGGATGGTGAGGTCCATTCAAGAATGGCTTTTGAGTGCCCACCAACAAGAAGCTCCCCTTCAAGCGAGAACATAACGCGCGTCCTTGGGAGGGCCTGACATGTCGTATGGGGTGAAAAGGCATTTCCTCACAACCTCCAACCCCAACAAGAAGCAAAGCAACTTGAAAAATATGGGGGAAAACCTCACCATTTAAGTTCAGAGCTCCACGTGTCCGATCGAATTGCTGCAGATTCCTGGTACAGCCCATGGCTCAAAAGCGTCGCCCGGAACGTCGGACGAGCAGATCGCACCAGTTGTCACGCATGTTTCTTTGTGTAGCCTCACTTTGGAACCGTCAGAACCCAAAAACGGTTTGCCCGTCGGTGGCGTGCTCCAGCTTTTTGCGGCGAGAGATTGCGGCACGCGCACTTGTTGAATCAGACCAGCCAACCGCAGCTTCCCTAAACACGCAGCTGGGCAAAGGTCTACAAGCCATCAAACCAAAGTCGCGAAGCGAATGGGTCAGCCAAGTGCCACCCGCGGGTTTGAACTGCGGCCATGTTGCGGCTGGCTGCGCGGATCGGGAGGTCGGGGCTCCAAAGCCATGGGAGAGGGATGGCTGGCTTGGGGTGTCCAGCGAACAGAAACTTCCGCGTGCACCGCCCAGATTCAATTCATCTAGGGTTGATTTTTGTGTGTTTTCCTCTACCTGGGTTTTGCAATCTGCGCTTGGGTCTTGCACGCTTGGTCCTTTGGCTTGATGCTGTGTTTGTTGTATGTTGGTCCTTTACTTTTTGGCGCCTCTTCCCAGCTCTTTGTGTCCGGCCTTTGTGTTCAGATCTTTATGCTGATCCTTGTCTTAGGATTTTGGGTGTTTGTGGAGGCAGTATCTTATACCCCGAGTCATTGTTTGATCTGACCGAAATGCCGATACCTGAAAATGCCGTCGATTCATTGTCAGGGAAATGTACCGCGGAGGAAAGCTCTCGCAACGGTTGAAAGGAAACACGGCCGGTTCCCTTTCGCAACTGCCCAAAGCGTTTCACCTCTCGGACACGCAGCCAATTCGGCCTCTGTCCACTTCCCTTCCGGGAGTGAACGCAGTTGTTCAAAACCAAGCACTTTGTTCGAAGCAACATAGAAGCTCATGGTTGGTGCCAGCATGTGTTTTAGAGGTGGTTGAAAACAAAGTCACTTTGTTCATCTTGGAAGGTGGATATTGAACCAGGCCTCCCCTGTGGAATCGGCAAGGCCCCAAACCAAGGGGTCACTACCCAAGCCTGTTGCTGCTTCTGAAGCCTGTTGCTGCTTCTAGACACTGCTTGAAGGATGGGTTGTGCACTCCTTCCAGACAAACCTGTCTGACGTCAATCCGCACAAACGTCGGCACGAATGCTGTAGAACGTGGCTATCGTTTTTTAAGACGTGCTTTTCTTAGTCATTTCTTTTGCGAGCTTGGCCACTGCACTCAGCTGTCCAGCTCACGTGAACAGGTTTTCCCAGCCACGATCAGGGGCAAACTAAGTTGTTTTTGAGTGTGGTGTTCCTCTTAAACCACTTTTCAGAGGGTCATTATGCTTTCTGTCTTGCTCACATGGACTGGCACTCAAAGGTGATGAGTTCAAAGCCACAAGGGGAAATATGAGGAGTCTTGCTTGGAATCGGTCAACATGAACGAGCCCTGTTTAGGTGGAGTTGGAGCCTCCATTTGTGTTGCTCGTTCCCTAGGATAGATTCTGTTGAAAACCGAGAGGGGTTCGCACAACATGCAAACCCACCCATGTTGGGAGACCACGTCAATTTTTGAGACCGCATTTGCCCGAGTCTTCCGGCATGGGACAAACTGTCAGCGCCCAGGCTTCTCTTCAAAGGGAAGCCAAAAGGAAAACCCGTCCCCGGATCCCCACTCATTGTTGGGGTCCCCCGCGTTGATCTTTTGACCCAGAAAAAAAAAACTCCCTTGGTAGAAGAAGCTGCAGGTGTGGGCTGTTCAAAGGCAAGCAAGATCCTGACATGAAGCGGAAAAGTACCGCTTGACTCCTGTGTGACTTTTCCGATCGGAGCCCGAAAGCTTCAGGCACCTAATGCCGCCGCCAGCCATGGACGGGGAAGTGGGAGGGGCGGCGAGGTGGAAGGGAGCTGTTCTGCTACCGCACGAACAAATCCGGTGCTGCACTCAACCCCCTGGGCTTGCTGAACCCATGAAAAAGTGGTGTTTTTAAGGGGTTCCTCGTTTGGTGTACTTTCGTTTGCCCAGCACCTTCCATTGAGTTTGCTTTGAGCACTGGACACAGGCTGCTACTTCCCCTTCCGCGGTTCATACATTCAGCCTTTGGACAAGAGGAGTTGCGGCGGGCCAATTTGTTTTGGGCTCGTGTTGGCTGGTTTCTGTCTAGTCGTCACCAGGACTAGTCGGGAAGTGCAGCCCAAACTGCCAAAGGCGTTGTGGGCGCTGAGTCTCATGAATGCAGAAGGCGGCAGCGGCAAGATATGAAACATCAGAAAACATGTGTGAACGATGCGTTTCCAGATGCATGCATTTGAGCCCATGGGGTCAAACTATCGATGGCGAAAGGTCAAGGACCAATGCTCAAGTTTGCAAATTCATGGCAACAACGAATACCTGGAGCAAGCTAGACTTGACCGGATGCACTTCGGCGACTGAGTTTCCAAGTGCATCTGAGCCACTTTGCGTTTTCGGTGGGTGAAGACTTTGGGCGATCTGTGACTACGTTTCAGTCCCTTGATGGTTCAATGCACAAGACAGGCGGTGCCTGTGATACTGTTTGACAGAGGTTGAGTTGGTGACTGGGCTGTCAGAATGGATGGATGAAGACACGTTTACCTGTTGAATTGCCACGCACGCGGCACGCTCTCTTTTTTCGGGGCTAAAGCGAGCTTGCGCATGAAGGTCTTATGGATTTCTCAACTCTGGTTAGTGAATTGCAGCAATGAGCGCAGTCTTTCAGGGTTCCCTGTATTTGTGTGCGTTTCACTGTGTGTGTCACAAAATAAAGGGACCCGCCGAAGGATCCAAGCAGAGAGCAAGGCAAAAGCCAAGACAACAGAAGCAAGACAATTAAATAACGTTGAGAGGGAAATATCCAAAGAAACAACACAGAAGCAGCCACGGAAACACCTTTGCATGTGCGTGTGTGTGTGTGTGTGTGCTGTTTGCAAAAAATCCCACAGGTAGAACACAGCAGTTTTTCAGGCTGACTTTTGCCTGGTGAGCTCGGATTCGCAGGAACCAGCCCTGGCAGGGCCTGGATGCCAACAGCAACAGCCGTGCACTCAAAGCGAAGGGTTTGGTGTTGCTGAGTTTCCTGAGTTTTTGGCAGGGGTGCCCCCAGGCTGGTTTTTGACATGATATTTTGGGGCCTACGGTCAGTTTCCTTCTGGGGTCATGGCTTCAATTGGAAATGAATTGGGAACCCTGTATGAGGTCTTGTCAAAAAGTATGTAAGATGAGCTGAATTTGAAACAGACTCTGAAAATACTTTGTTTAGTGCTACCGGTTGGGAGGCTAAGCATGAGCGAATCCTGAAGGTCCTCTACTGGGGGTCCTCATGTGATGGTTCGCCTTTCGCTTTGCCGGGTTTCCCCCCACCCCCACCACTGTTCACGCACAACCCCTTGGGAAGCAAGGGAGACCCAAGCCAAATCCTAAATAGGTGTCCTCTGCTGTTTGTACCGGAGAAGCTACATCTAGCCCACACCTTCCACAATGCCGGTTCCCAATTGTACCGGACAAGCTAGACATCTAACCAGCCCCACACATTCGACAGCCCAGCTGATTTCCCCTCGTGGGTTAAGAACGTTTGTCACCTTCGACAGGTTCCCAGTTCATTTGTCACCTATTTTGGACAATGTCTTTGGAGATAAATTTTCCTTGTGGCTTAAAAAACGTTTTTTGGAAGGACCAACGGGGGGCCTGAGTGTCGAGATCAATCGCTCAGGCGCATCACCTCAGTGCTGGAGCTGGGGGCACAAAGGCGGGGGTTTGGGGTAGGTGCACCACCCATTTTAGTGGGGGTACGTGCTTTTGACCCATGGCCAAATGACTTGAGCCAATCTGGAGTCATCGTTTTGGGCTTAGCAAATGAAACTTTTGCGGCTTGTTGGGGTCACGGTGAGGTGTTTGCCCTCATACTCCCTGGGACTTGACATGGGCCAAAACAACCCGCATGCGTAGGGGAATCTCCTTTTGGGGGATCTTTTGTGGGGTTCTATATTAATTTGCAGGGACCTTTTTGTTGTCCAACCGTAGCTGTTGGGGATCTGGGCTGGAGTTTAGCTCCCATTTCTTGGCCTGATGGAGTTATTTGTCTGGGGTGTGTCCGCTGTGATGACTTATTTTTTGTTTAAGAGTCCCACAACCGCATTCTAAAAGCTCGGGCCCTTGTAGAAAGACCTTGGGTGGCAAAATCATGGGCCCAGACAGTCTGACTCAGCCCTTCATATCCGGGCTGGGAAGCCCTTTGCAACTCCAGTAAGCCTTGGGGCTTAATGCGCCCCTATGTCCGGCCTTCTACCAGCAACATCGGGCCCGGCGACAGTGTCTGGCGCTTCTGTGGGTTTGTGGCGGGGCTTGTCTTTCACTTTGAGGTTACGTTTTCTTGGGTTGATTTAAAGGAAAACCAAATGGAAAACGGCCACATGCTGAAGGGTGTTTCGCCCTGCCACCCAACCATCCACACACACAAGCACGCACACAATCAATGAACAACAAGCCAGAAGCGCGAGACATGCTCGTTCAAACATGAACACTTCAAATATGGTTCATGGGTCAGTCTATCGAAAAGTGGGATACAAAAGTCCATGCCATTCTCAGTGAGCCAGGGTGAAAAGGAAGTTTCCCATAGAGGACGTGGGAAAATTAGGGCTCATAGCTGCTTTTGTGCAGTTCAGTGAGTTCCCCAAGCCCCCCCCCCCCCCACGTGAACGAGAACTGGACATGTTGATCAAGCCCATGCCACTTTCGTATACCGTCGGTTCACAGCAAATGGCAATCTAAAACCCATGGACTACGACCAGTCAAAACAACCGCCCCTTGCTCGCTGCAACCAGAGGGCGCGGTTCACCCGACAAACGCACGAGTTGCACGGGCTCGGGGTTTTGAATGGAGTATCTACCTCTGCTTTGTGCCCTAAAGATGTTGTGTTCAGCTCGATCTTCGGGCATTGCCATGGTTCTGAGAAATTTGATACAACGGTAATCATGTGATTTAAGAGGTGCCAGTGTTGGGGCCTTCAAACGGTAGCACCAAAGGGGCACTTCCTGCCATTTTCTTCCGGCTCTTCCAAGGATAAAGCCATTTCACCATTGTGATGGGCCCTGTTGGGTTGAACAAAGGTAGGCATAATTTGACAATTCCGATTTGCCTTCTTTGTGCTATTTGAAGTTTGGCACAAAGAAATATTGGGAGTTATTTTGAGTTGTGTTTTGTTCATTGAATGTATGTATTGATTTACCGTTCTATGAACCAAGTTGTGTTGTTCTTGTAGGTTGTTAACTCAGGTTCTATTCCCTGGATGACGTGAATAGAATTGACCCCGAAGTTTGGTACTTGGTTCGTCAGGAACCCCAGCAAAGTGAGGTACCCTCCCGTACGTTCACATGGAACCTGACTGGGTCCTGGAAGACAATGTTCCTTTTAAAGGACCATTGGAGACTATTTCTCTGGCAACGGGGGTAGGCGCTTCCATGAATCGCAAAAGGAATCAACAGGGTTCCCAGTGCCCATCAACAGCACCAGGGCAAGCTCGTGGTTGCGTCTATCCATGTGGCCATGTTTCCATGTTTCGGACGGCATGTGTCAAAGCGACGCCCCTGCAAGCAACAAACAAATTCAAACTGCGCCTCCGGCGCGGTCATGTCGAAAACTGTGCTCGGAGAGAATGTGTCATAACTTGTCATAACCTATGCCTCCATTCTTGGGGGCGGATGAACACCCATGTACCACCTATTTTGATGTTCACCAGGGGTACAGGGTTTTGAACCACAGCCATGTTATGCATGTGGCCAACCCCCCTCCAACAAGAAGCAAAAAGAACTGGGGGAAGCCATCGCTTGCTCATGGCTCTCCCGATCCCGATCCCGGACGCTGCGGCCAGGGCCTTGGCGGCGTCCCGCCAACATCTGGGCGCCGCGGCCCTGCAGGCGGCAGAGGCACTGGAGGCGCGGTCGTCAGGGGTCAGCGGGGCGGTTTTGGAGTCAGCGGGCGGGTCAATGCGAAACGGACCCCGGCGGTACCCAAAACGGATCCCTGAATGAAGCCAAGGACGACAAAAAACCTGCGGTCTGGTCGTTTTTCAGTTTGAGCCATACCCACATACAATACCTTGATCCTCCTTTGCCGCTTGCGGTGCCTGTTTTTTGCTGGCGGCCGTTTCTTGTTTGTCATTTTCTAGGGGCAATCCTTGAAACTCTGCGTTTATGCCCGACCAATCGGCAACTTCTCCGACCAAAACGCGACTTTTGCCAACCAGTTGTTTGCACATGTTGGAGTGGGACGACTTGGCTGAACACATGCACACCCGGATGCAGGTATGCAGTCTTCCTTATGTTTCGTTTGATATTTTAAGGTTGACGAAACAAGAGACAGAGTCTTCACGTTTGTTGGAGGCACCCTGGGTAGGCCAAGCTTTGGAGCTGATTGCTGCTGTTCCGTTTGCCTGAATACGCGCGCCAAGGGAACCCTTGTGGTTGGCCTACGATGGGATCCAAACAAACACATGAGAAGCACCTCCCGAACCCGGAAAAGCCAGGAATCGAATCAACGGATTCATAAGGATGGAACCCACTGAGTCACCAAGTTTCACGAAAGCCATGGTTGAAACTAGAAATGTCTTATGTCCGCTTGGGGCATCTCAGCGCCGTATGTTTGAGTGCTGTGGGAGCAGTTGCCTCAGATGAAAAAAAAAAGCAGGATCAGAGTGTCTATTGTCTGGGAAGCCAAAGACACATCACTTATGAATCACTTTCCCCAGTGCGTGCACGTTTTACCTTGTGGGAGGTGGCAGTCAAACATGTCAGGCTTTTTTGGCCTCCGTTTCACTTGGCAACCCTCGTTTTGGTTGGCCACCCAGATTTCCAGGCGCAAATCACATGGTTCCCAAGGTCAGGCAACTAGTATGGGTAAATGATAAGTAAAAGATATTCCTAGAATCATTCACCTAGCATAGGGTACCCAAAAAAGTGCAAGCCAACTAGCATTGGGGCGTATTCCTCATCACCCAACTTGGCTCTGGGTTGTACCCCCATGGCTTTGGGCCAGCGTGCCAGGCAGCGCAGGAGGTCTTTGGCATTTGGATCCTGAACCGCCAGAAGAGGCGACTGCGCGCATTCCTTCGACTCGACGCCGGGCTCCGGGCTTCGCAAAGCGAAGATTTCGCTTTTTCAAAGCGATGCAACTCTTTGAGCGGCCTTTGAGTTTCTGAGCGGCAGTTGTCTTGGTGCTCAGTAGGACATGATGGAATGACCGCTATAAACCATCCAACTGGTGGTTTGAATCCCTGGGTTCATTCCCAGATTCCCTACTGAGCACTTTTTCGCCTTAGAGGATCTGGAAAAGACAAAGTCAACCAGAGAGGTGCTCTGTACTTTCACTATCTTTCACAGGGGTCCCCCCGAAATAGTTACCCTCTTTCCAACAATCATGGAAGTGCACAAAGGGGTTCCCCAAAAGGAAAATAGTCTTCCAAAGCTCTCCTGTCAACTTCCATGATTGTTGGAGGGAGGATAAGTATATATATATATATACATATATATATATATGTTAGACTACACAAGGGGCCTCAAAACATGGGGCCGCGCAACCTGAAAAGGCCGAGCAGTCTATTTCACCTGCCCTCGGGCAAGTGAGATGCATGGCAGACTGTTTTGGGCCAGTTGCGGTCCAAGAGAAACTGCTTCAAGTGACAAAGTCAAATCTGGTGGGTGTTTTCCCTGGCGCGACTGGAGTTCAGATCCCAGGGCCGGCCGACGGCTTCCTGCCCCTGACTTGCCCCCACTTGCGTTCTTTAGATTGCCGTGTTCCCTAGAAAAAAACCTGACCTGCCCCTACTTGCACTCCTTGACAAAGGCCTTATTCGGGGAAAACTTGGGGGAGGGGGGTGACGGGGGCAGAGGTGGCTTAGAATGAACTGTTCCTCGCGCGGTTGCTTTTGCCCAAAATGGTGTGGCTCAAAATTACAGAGCTAGGGTTGCGCAGGTTTTCGTCTTGTGTTCCATGCCAAAATGCCACACCCAACATGGTTTAGCCGTCTTTGAGAAATTCCTCCAGAAATTTCCGTGGACCTTTAAGAGTGTGGTGTTTGTGAAGCATTTGCAGGTAATAGCAACCTCACAGGCCCATGTGGAGGTCATGCCATAGGGACCTTTCTCTTGGCGAAGTGGTCCAATTCACCCAATATGGACGAGGTTTGATCCAACGGACCACCTGCCATGAGGAAAACAGGGCCATGTTGCTGAAGTCAACTCCGGGATTGGAGTCGTTTTTCGACGATGGGAGGGATTAGGAGACAAGCACCGTTTGATAAATTTGCTGGTACTTCAATCCGTTCAAGATAAACAAGGGAAGCTTCCTTTGAGTCAAGCCAGCTCACAAAGCTGAGTCAACCCAGAGGCCGAGTCAAGCCAGTAGATCCCAATTTTCGATATCCTTCGATAGGATCTTCCGCGGCACCCACGGGAACCTGAACCCCTCCTTGTGGCGCTGGGAGCCACAGACTGGAGGATTAGAGGCGAGCGAGCAAGAGGGTTTCAGCTATGTTTGGGTTCACCCTCGTCTTTTTGAAGGTCGGACCCCCCAAAATGGCAGTTGTCTGGTTCCCCCGAAAAGAGACGAAGGATTTGGGTTCACTTGAAAGTCCATCTCTTTTTGCTTATGTCAGGTTTGGAATTGTTTGTGCAGATTGCCAGAGTTGCCAGAAAGCTTATCTTTTTAACTTTTGGCCTCTGAAGCTACAGCCAGGTTTCAAAGCCGGACCAACGCTGTGACCAACGGCTTGGCGGTTCCACCTTTTTGCTGCTGCCGCGGACACCAAAACCACGGAAAACGCTAGGATTGAGTTCGTCCCTATCGGCTTAATGCAGGGGCAGGCACCATATGCACAACAACTCTCCCCCCCTTCCCCACCCTATCCCTTAATGCCACCGAGGGGTTGAGTCCTGTTGGGTGTAAACCATTGAATCCTTTTGGGCTTAAGCAAAATCCAAGTTCTTGGCTGAAGCCACGCAAGTGAGCGCACAAGTTTCTGCTTTTGGACCCTTTCCTCGGCGGTTCCCTGTTTGGTTCCTTAGGTGTTTTGGTTGTTTTTGGGTTGGGGTGTCCGTTTGACCCGCGAACAGTTATTCACTGTTAGAGCCCAGTTTCCGGAGGAGATGGAGTTCTGGGGCTTTGCGGTTGTGAGTTCCACTCTGCGGTTCTTTTGCTCGTAGCGAGAGAGCCGAGGCTGGTACCACCGGCACGGATATTGGGCCACCCGCCGCAAGATGATCGACTTTGGGACCAAGAGGCCGGCGCACACCGAACACCAAACACCTGATTTTGGACTCGCACCCAAACTTGCTAAGCCAACTTTCGGTTGGGGCTTTCCAAAACTGTATCAACCACAGGAAAAGAAGCCTGAACAAAAAGCTACGAAGCCTATTGTTGGTGAACCCCCATGTTTGAGGAACCAAAAGGAAAGAGTTCAGTTCCTGGCCACCTTAAAACTGGAGGCTTTCGCAAAACGACTTGGAGCATTCTTTCCTCTACCCACCAGGTCACAGAGGCGGGTCGGGCCAATTTCCTTTAAGGTCGCGAACGTCAGGTTCGTTTGGGAGGATTTTCCCGTGGACCAGGATCCATCGCTACCACCAGGTGGAGGGCTTCGGCAAGCGCAACGGCCGAGCCTCGGCTCCAGTTCGCGCTTCCGCGCGAACGTTTTCTGTCCGAATCGGAGAAAGAAACAAAATCAGCTGAATTCCGGGGAGGGGGTTGAATCAATCCGAGGGCCCCAATTGTATCTTTTTAAACAAGTGCGTCAGTTTGGGTCAACTCAGTTCATCGGAGAATGGCTCATTTCCATCTCAAAGAAGTGGTCTAGATGTTCTTTCCGTTGAATGGGTGTCCCTCGGGGGATTGCGCGAGTTTGAGTCAAATCGGTGAAAATCAGAAGCTCCCGAAGCGAATTGAATCAGGGCGAGCAAATTGTCGACCCCTTCAGAAAGCCCAAGCTATTCATCACAGTCCCTGCTATTTGCCCACTGTCATCGGTTGGTCCCTTTGTTTGGGGGGGGGTCCTTCGTTCCAGGATCGCTTCTCATGAACAACGGGGAGGCGTGTATGAAACACAAGGTCATTCATGAACGGGTACCATGGTAACCATGAGGAAACCAGTTGCTGAAAAAGCCAAAGAGGTGGAAGCCTGTTTTTTCTACAGAAGAAATAGAATGGTCTTGTGGGAGTATTAGACCAGATTGCCAGGAAGAATCATATGTGCAGTGCGTTTGTCCCATATATTTGCTGCTTGTTAGGGGGGTATGTGGCCAAGTCCCTGTCGAGTTTGTTGCACCTTTTGATGGCCCCTCAGGCTTGCTCCTTGGATGACCAACAGGTTCCTTGGAGCAGGTTTTGTGTTCTCGACAAATGCGTCTGCCGTTTCTGGATCATTGGAGCAAGACAGGCTGAAGAGAGTATCTGCCCAGACCACTCACCCCTGGCATTGGCCCCCTTTCCTGTTGCTTGAAAACTCGCGTAAGATTACCTGAGAACCCAACATCAATTTGGCACCATGGGCCTTGGGTAGACCCCTTTCATACCCAGTTTTGCCTTGCGAAGGTGAGACTTTTTATTCTTCATAAGGTGGATCCCTTAGCCGAGCTCTGAAAACAATTCGCGGCTCGCGTCGGACGCGAGGCTACATGAAGAAGTTCGCAAGCTGGTCGGGCGCCCTGCGAGAGGATCGACTTTCCAAAGCCAGAGATGGAAAGTTCATGGCCCCAAATCCTCAATGAGCGCCTAAATCGTCAGTCCCAATTTGGCCCTGGCTCCTTGAGCCAAAACGAGAATGGAACAGCACCTTTTCAGCCTATCTGAAGAGAAGCCTTCGGGGTGACGCAGCGGGCAACGCTTGCCATCCATTGCCATCCCTTACCCTTTTGCTCGGCTTAGGGAAAAAGCTGCTGGAGTTGGATACTTGGGCCTAAAGTTCAGCATGAGTTCAGAGAAGGAAGCCCAGAATGGGGGACTTTACGTATAGGCTAAGTGAGGAAAATGGAATCCCATCAAAAGGATCGGTCAGAGGTGCGAGACGTGGCCCAGGTGAGCCCCAACAGATCGCCAAAGATGGCAGTTCCGTCTGGGGGGGGAGCATCCGATTTCGAAATCCATATGTTAGAACCCGATCAATTCGGTACGGGAGCAACCCAGGTGGTGCGACTCCTCCTACTTCAAGCCGCTGAAGAACTACTGCCGCTTCTGAGTGTAGCCCAAACACCGCCCTCCAACACTCTTTGGCGGTCCAAAATAAGAAACATGTGTTCCAGCTTTGCCCACTTGGGTCCTCCAAAGCTCTCCTAAGTTGATGTGTTCGAAAGGGAAGCTTTCACAGTCTTTAGTTCAGCAAAGCCAGAAGTACTCACTCCGTTTGACCCGCTGAAAGCACACGACTCCGCGACTTCCGACGGTGCTGCGCGGCAAAAAGATGAGGAACGTGCGTGCGGGCCACGATGTTGGACATGGTTTATCAGCCACACACCACGGCAATCATTTGGATATGCCGCCTTTTGGGCAATGTTGGAATGAGTCTCTATTGAAGTGGGTGATGATTCACGCTTGGAAACCGTAGGGAACCGTGCAAACACCAGAGGCCCAGTGTCTATCTTCGATTTTGGGTGGATCTTGTGTTTGCATGCATCTTAACAAACTGCTTGAACCCACAACTTGAATGCTTCAGCCTGCCACTCCATGAAAAACAGCAGGGTTCCCTGGCTTCCTGTCAGGCGTGTCTGGTAAAACCAGGGTTCCCTGTCTTCCGGTTCCCTGGCTTCCTTTCAGGTGTGTGAATCGCTCCCCCCCTCCCCCCCCCCCCCAGCGTGGCCTTGATCTCTGGCAACCGAGTGATCTAACGATATCCGCCAGGGAGCCTTCGAAGCTTCTGCTCGCCCGGGGCCGCAGGGGGAAAAATTGGAGGGCTTCGACGTGGGAAGCAAAAGAAGCCGTAACAAAAGTGCCCTTCCGTGGAGAAAGGAGGGTCGTTTGGCGTTGGTTTTACGAGAAATGGCCGAATTGTTTGGTGTGAGTGTGTGTGTGTGTGTGTTTATGTGTTTGTGTGTTTGCTTGTTTGCTTGTTTCTTTGTTTGTGCTGCTTTTTGAGAGGGGGTCCCTCATCACATTATGGCAATTGCGTCACCTGCCTTTCTTCCGAACTAGGAATGGGACCCTCCGTTTTTCGGTTCCCAGGTTTAGAGTGGGCCGCCCCTGGAAGCCCTGCGAAGGGGTCCGCAGGGTTCATGCCATTCTGCTGGGGGATTGACTCCATGGGGTCCGTTTTCCGAGTCTCCTCGAACAGGTCAAAAGTTTAGCGAGGGCAGGGCTCGCTTGGGCCCATGCTTTCCGGACCTTTGGGTGGCTACTTCGATGAAGAAACGAGTGGCCAGATCTCCAGGGGGTCTCTTTTCCCTGCCCCCCAAAGCTGGAACGGCCCCACTTTGGGGGCCAGGAACGAGAAATCAGTGCTCCTCGCGAGAACCCCTCGGGCCCCGGGCCCGAACCCAAAACGGAGTCCGGTTTTCCCGCGAGCTTTCATCGGAATGGCTCCAGCTCGCTTTCCGAACTCGCTGCAGGCAACACTCCGCAACCCGCCCCGACGGGTTTCACAACGGGCGAGCGGACGTGTCTCACAGGGTCTCGGCCCCAAGGCTTATGCCAAAACCAATGGGGTCTCCTCTCCAGCTTCATAATCCAGGTGCAACATGTTGGGAACAAGGTATTTGAATTATGTTATGACCAAATGTGGTTGGCAGACTCTCCGTATAGTGCGCTTTGCGCGCAGGTGAACTCGCACTCGCACGCCTTTGTGTTCTTCATCTTTCCTTTTGGCCAAAAGTTAGAAGATCCGTTGGCCAAGTTTGGGGATCCAACAGGAAAACCAATTGGAGTACTTGAAAACTGGTATCCTCTCACCCACATTGCCACTGGCTGTGCCAGGGTCCACCCGCTCAATCACCTGGTTTTTTTTTTTCTGTTTCTGCCCCTGGCGAAGAGGCCAACCATGAAGCATCCATGAAGCATCCATGAAGCATCCAAGCCCTGGGAGTCGGAAGGTTTCGGAACATTTCTGAGCTTGAAAAGGAAGGCCTTTGAGAGGCCAGGCCGGGGCCATCTCGAGAGACTGGACACAAAAACTCAACAGTTCTGCTTCGGGCATCCAACCGGGGTTTCCCGGGGCCTATGTAAACAAGAGCTGACTGGGCGTCCGACCCCCTCCCCGGAAGTGACATGTACATACCTTGCTGCGCCTGCTTGCGACGACTCGCACCACTGCAGAAATTCGGCCAGCAGGCTATGCGCACGCAACAGCCATGAACTCCACTGCAGCAATTCCATATCAATCAGGGGTTTGCTAGTCAAGGTCCCAATATGGGCATGGGCGCTAGCCACTTTCTGCGGACATCCAAGGATGCGAATTCCAGTGTGAAAATGGTTAATTGGAATCAATACGTTTTTGTGCATGGTGTGTTGTGTGTACTACAATGGCCCAAACATGCTTCAAATCGAGTTGCGGGATAATTGCTGCTAAACCGATTTGCCTCACGGGACAAGAATGTGGAGGTCTTCAGTCAGTTATATCCCTGAACCACTTGGGAGATGTTCTCACTGCGGTCGTTGGCTGTTGCAACGTGTCTCCAAGATCTTCCCGAAGAAGCGAACAAGATTGGGTGAGGGCTGAAGCCGGCTACACCCAACTTGGAAGAAAGAGAGTCAAAAGGAATTGAAGGGGGCGACTTGAGGCAAGCTATCAAACAGAAACATGCTGGTTGTCTATCGTTGGTTTGGAACAGGCCCCCCCAAATTTCGCACAAGAGGGACAGCTCAAACTTCCCCAAGTCCTCAGTGATTTTGTCCAGGGTGGGTATGTCAACACGGGAAACAGGGGCCTGATTGGGTGTTCCCAGCGGGATGAAGGTTGGCTCAACGATGTGATTGGGAAAAAGGTTCCTGATGCTTGGGTGGACAGTTTTGTTCCCGCCAAAATTGTGGGTGCGTGTTTGAGGGTAGCGTTGAAAATCACCAGTGGTGGTCCAAATCCTTCTTTTAGGCACACATTGGTCGCCCCAAGATTTGAATCTCAGCTCGACGCTCGGATTTTTTCAGGAAAGCGGTAGATCAGCCCAGGCGAAGCGACGTGGGGCGCCATCCCATTCAAAGCTGAAGCCTTTTCGCAAAGGATGCTGCGGAGATTTCCTTGATTGGCTATTGGTTTGTCACGCCTTTTCAGAGCACGTGTTTTGCCTTGTTAAATCCTAAGTTCTAATCGCTAATTCAAATTGTACTTGAAAGGAACTTTTTTTTAATGGCCTGCGGCCTGGTTCCGCCGCCCCCACACACCTTAGAATTTCGGCCCGGGACGAGAGAAAGCACGCGTGCACAGACCCGTTCGCGGACACGAAGACAGACGCAGATACGTAGACAGACACAGAGAGACACAGAGAGACACGCACGGGCGGGAAGACAGACGCAGATTTGCCCGGGGCGAGAGAAAGTACGCGTGCACAGACCCGTTTGCGGACACTAAGACAGACACAGATACGTAGACAGACACAGACAGATACGCAAGGGGGGGGAGGGTCTTCGCGGAAGACAGACGCAGATACGTAGACAGACGCAGACAGGCACAAAGCGACAGACACGCAGATGCGTAGACAGACGTAGACAAACATCAAGCAGTTTGAAGGGTGCCCTGAACCCACAAAATATGGGATTTTTTGGGGTAGTGTCTTGGGGGTAGTGACCTTGGTCTTAGAAACTGGATCTGGGATAAGAGGTGCAGCCGCTCCGCGCGTTTTTCCTGCCATCATCTGTTGAGGTTGTGCGACTTGTTCAGCGTATTGTTCGCGTCGTCGCTGGTTCGCCTCTTGAATCGCCTGAACATATTCAGAGCTGGCTTGTGTGTAATTTGGTCTTGTGTCTTCCCGATGCTCTCAATCTTCGCAAGAGAATCTCGAATTTGCTCATGAAAGTCACACATTCACCAGTATGCCGGCGATGATTGAAGAAACTGAGGAATCTGTACAGGAACACATTCTTGGAGCCCTTGGGAAAATATCCTCTCAAAGTTGTGAGTAAATATTCAACTCCTTGGTCAGGTTCAACAAGTTTGTTGTTATCCAGGAGCTCTCTGTAAGGGGTAGTGGTATGATTCATCTTTTTCACGAGCATACCAGGTGACGTGTGACTACCCCCAACACAACCAGTCAACTCCACTACCCCTAAACCGCGCGTTTAAACGGGGGACGAGGCGGTCCCTCCAACGCGACATGATCAGAGCAGCAAACCAAACTGGCTTCCAAGAAAGCAAAGCTTTGATGTTCACCTTAAATGACACCACCTCGACCCCAAACAGCAAAAAAACATGACAGGTCTCCTTCATGTACGGTGCGAAATTGAGTAGCTTATGTGAGCAACACACAGTTACAATCAGTCTATGTATGTTCCTGTAAAAAGTCCCCGAAGAGGACACATCGGGTCCATCCATCTCCTTGACGCCGGGTAAAAGCGTCGATGTTGTTCATCGACTTGGAGGAGGAAAATGACATGTCAATTCCATGTTCAAGAGTGAAGGCCCCAGGACTCTCATGACTCCTTGCACTTGCAACTTGCACTTGCAATGACTCTCATGACTCCTTGCACTTGCCACTTGCACTTGCAATGACTCTCATGATGATGACTCTCATGATAACGACTCCTTACAATAACTTTCATAATAGTAACTCCTTGCAATGACTCTCATGATGATGACTCCTTGCAATGACACCTTGCAATGACTCCCATGAAAACAACTCAAGTGATTCCAGTGGATCGGGATTATACTGTGACATCCCTTTGCTCAGGACACTGAGCTGCTTTTTGGAAGCCAGTGCCGCACTTTTGGTCAAGTGCAGGTTTGCATCCTTGTGGCGCATCAGCAGGGCCCTGTCGAGCGTTAAATATGTAGACGGTTTTCGATAGACAAATACCGTGACATCCGGCTGACACTGAGCTGCTTTGTGGAAGCCAGCGCCGCACTTCTTGGTCAACTGCGGGGTTGCATCCTTGCATCAGCAGAGCCCTCCATTTTGTTCTATAAACAAATATACCGTGACATCCGCCTAATGGCCTTGCTCAGGATTCTGAGCTGCTTTTCGGAAGCCAGTGCTTCTGGCGCATCAGCAGAGCCCCGTCAAGCCTTGAATATGTACTTCTGTTCTCGACAAACAAATACCGTAACATCCGCCTGATTGCTTTGCTCAGGATTCTGAGCTG